TTCCAACGGAGGATGAATGGAAATTATATCATCAAATTGTGGTACCAAAATTATTTCGAAATCATGTCCATTCATCGGCACATGAAAGTCCCATGGCAGGCCATGTTGTTGTAAACAAAACTTGTCAGAAAATCTTGGCACATTTGGCACATTTGTTTTGGTCCAGTTGTGGCTGAATTTTGCAAGACCTGTCATGCATGCCAATTTGTTGGAAAGCCAAATCAGAAAATTCCTACTGTACCTTAAATACCTATACCAGCTTTCGAGGAACCTTTCTGTAGGGTTATCATTGACTGTGTTGGTCCACTACCTAAGACAAAGTCTGGTAATCAGTATCTTCTCACTGTCACTATCATGTGTGCTTCTACCAGATTTCCTAAAGCAATTCCACTTCGTAGGATCGTTGATCCTGTGATTTCAAGACTTTGATCAGTTGTTTCACCTTAGTGGGCTTGTCAGATGTTGTTCAGTCGCATCAGGGCTCAAATGTCTAAAGTGTTTCAACATGTTATGTACCAGCTTGGTATTGAGCAGATTAAGTCTAGTGCTTATCACCCGGAGTCACAGGGAGCTTAAGAGAGATTTCATCAAACTTTGAAGAATATTATCAAGATTTATTATTTTGATACAGAGAAACTTTGGGATGAGGGTGTGTATTTGTTGTTGTTTGCTGTCAGGGAGTCAATTCAGGAAAGTTTAGGCTTTAGCCCTTTGAGCTTGTAGTTGATCATAGTGTGTGTGGCCTACTAAAACATCTAAAAGAGCAATGGTTCAATCACAATCCTAAGATCAACCTTTTGAGGCTATGTTTCTACATTTCGGATCAGACTTAGTGATAATGTTTCACCAAAGTTGACAAAAAAAGGATGTGTTAGCTCACCTTGATGAGAAACTATCACATTTATCCCCTGAGCAGAAAGCTCAAATGTCAGGTTTGATTCATGAGTTCTCTCACTTGTTTCCTGATGTGCCTGGCCGAACTGATGTTGTTAGCCATGATATAGATGTAGGTGATGCTGTGCCTGTAAAACAACATCCATATCGGATGGATCCTGTGAATAGTGAAATTCTGCTGAAAGAAGTGAAATGTATGTTGGACAACTGTCATTATTGAACCCAGTGACAGTCCGTGGAGTTCAGCATGTGTTCTTGTGCCGAAGAGTGGTGGAGGTGATTGGCTCTGCTGTGCTGACATGAAAGCTGTCAATGCGCTCACACGAACTGATTCTTATCCAATTCCGAGGGTGGATGTTTGTATTGATTGCATTGGTCAAGCTAAATAACTAGTAAGTTTGACTAATTGACGTGATTCTGAAAGATTCCACTCACAGACCGTGACAAACCGCTGCTTTACACCTGGCGCTTATTAGAGGCCCGGCACTTATTTCTTAAACTGCTGCTTTACACCTGGCACTTATTAGAGGCCCGGCACTTATATCTTAAACCGCTGCTTTACACCAGGCGCTTATTAGAGGCCCGGCGCTTATTTCTTAAACCGCTGCTTTACACCCAGCACTTATTAGAGGCCTGGCGCTTATTGGATACACGGCACTTATTAGAGGCCCAGTGCTTTTTAAAGATCCGGCACTTATTAGAGGAAATACGATATTCAACGGGTGAGTAATACGAAGCTACAGGTCACATGATATTTTGCAGCACTGACCTCACACTGTTTCCTCCTTTTACAAATGTTAGACTGGAGCAAGGTGTGACTATGGAGCCGGTCGAGTACCGAGCAATGATCGGGTTTCTACATTTGAAAGGTCACACACCAAAGAGACCTCCGATGAATTGAAAGAGAAACTTCTGGGGATGACGCCCCATCATCGCCAGCTCAAGTGTGAATTCCTGGGCGCCCCATTCTGCCATTGATGAAGACACCATTCAGCAAGTGGAGACCGTTCGCCAGTTAGCCCAAAGTGTCAAGATAAGCATCGCATCTGTTGAAAGGATCATTCACGCATAAGGTGTGGGCACAGTGGATTCCCAGGCCACACCTTTTCAGAAGCAGGAACGAGTCAATTTCTCAAAGGCTCTTTTGAACATGTGCCAAGAAAACCAGGAAGCCTTTTTGACAGACTTGTCCACAGGATGAAACATGGGTTTATCACTTTGACCCAGAGACTAAAGTCCAGTCTATGCAGTGGCAGCAATTTGTTTCACCACCCCCAAAGAAGGCAAGGGTTCAACCTCTGCAGGAATGGTCATGCTTGCCGTCTTTTGGGACCAGCACAGAGTAGTGATGACGGATTTCCTGGCAAAGGGTACCACAATTACTGGAACTTACTATCCTTCACTACTGCGTAAACTGCGAGGAACTGTTAAACTCAAAGGTGCGGCATGCTGACCAGAGGCGTCCGTCTCCTGCAAGACAATGCCCCAGTGTACAACTTGCATAATGCCCAGACAGAAGCGCGCTCTTGTGGCTATGAAATCCTTCCACAACCCTACCCCACCCCCACACCCACCCCCACACCCACACCCACCCCTACCAAAGTCG